AGGGTCCAAGGATCGGAGCCCCTCTGCTCTGGAGACAGGCTGAGAGGTTGTTCAGCCCAGAGACAGCAAGGCTGCAGGGAAACCTTAGAGCCCCCTCCAGTGCCTAAAGTTGTCTCCAAGAGAGCCGGCGAGGGACTTGGACAACGATATGGAGTGACAGAACAAGAAGAATGGCTTCAAATTTAAAGAGAGAATGGATAGATTAGATACTAGGAAGAAATTCTTCCCTGTGACAGTGATGAGGCCCTGGCACACATTACCCAGAGAAGCTGTGGCTGCCCCATCCCTGGAAGCGCCCAGACTCACCAGGCTGGACGGGGCTTGGAGCAGCCTGGGAGAGTGGAAGGTGCCCCTGCCTATGGCAGGGTTGGAAGTGGATGGATCTGGGGCCCTTCCAGTCCCAACCGTTCTGCAATGGCCCCTGTTCTAAGGCTGAAAGAACCAGAGCTGCCCGTAGTGGTAGCCATGGACCAGGCTCTGCATCTGAGCTCTTACATGAAACCAAGCCCATCCCAGCATTAGGAAAACCAGCACCAGACACATCTAACTGTGCACCTCGGCAGCCTGTCCACACCGTGGCTCCTCCACTGTTGTGGTCGCTGCCAAACCAGTTTGGGAAGTGAGAGGAAAATCAGGGTTTTAACACAAATGCATGGCAAAAGCAGCACGCTGCCCTTTAGCAGCCAGCACGGAGCTGAGGGGCAACAGGCCAGAGGCAATGGCAATGTGCTCCTTACAGACTGCTGACCAAAGTGTTTTCCGTGGGAATTCTGGAGATTCCTGCAATGTGCAGTGCCCACAAGAAAATGTGTTAATTTCAGGCAAAGCTTTAATTCCCTTTTATCAAGTGGCTGCGATATTTTTAAAGAACGTAACATGAAGGATGTGTTTCAACTAGGGGTGAAGCAGGGTGGTTAACAAAAGGTATTTATTAAAGCTGCAAATCATAAGCCACTTTATCACTGCAAGCAATCCTAGAGGATTTCCGAGAGTACTTCAAAATCGGTCATAATTTTCCCTACACCTTTATTTTTAACCTATGAAAATTCCCATTTTCTCCTGCTGAATTATGTAATATTTTATAGAAAGGAGGCATCCTCATTAGACCTGTGGAATTGTCACTATTTGTCGCAGGCATCTCAGTGCAACTGTTTCACCTGTTAACAGTTTAAGCACATCTTTAATGCCTTGGCATTATTGGCAGATATTTTAGATTTGTTAGGTGCTTGCTGAGTCTCTTTTCTTTACAAAGAACTTAGCTATCCCAACTAGCTGTTAAGTATCTGTCAATTTTCTTCCCTTCTTAGAACCAAAGAATCATTTGGGCTGGAAAAGACCTCCAAGATCACTGAGTTCCAACTGTTGATCAATCCCCACCTTGTCAACCAGAACAGAGCACTGAATGTCATGTCCAGCTGTTCCTTGAACACCTCCAGGGATTGCCTGCCTTGGCTCTCCTGAGGGGGCGGTGGCGGGGCCGGGCTGGGCGAGGCGGGGGCTGAGGGTGGGTCAGCCCGGCCTGGGCGGGGGGCGGCCGGCCGGGGGCACCGGGACCCCTCAGCGCGGGGCCGGTGCTCTACGTGCCGTGGGGTGTATTCCCACAGAGCACACCTTCGTTATTATTGTTATTATTTTATTATTTCGGAGCTCTCTGTCAAATACCGGAATGCCTGTAGGGGTTAGGCTTGGTGGAAAATTTTATTTAATTTGTTGGTTTTTTTTTTTTTTTTTTTTGTGGTGAACACCTCCAGGGATGGGGACTCCAGCACCTCTCTGTGTAGTCTCCATCAAATGCACTTCCATTCCAAATGGAATTCCAAAAGTCCTTTCTGGGATCCCCCAATGTGGCCCCCACATCCCTGGCTCTTCCATGGGGATACCCCAGCCTGGCTTCTGAGAAACACCAGGATCATCAGGACCAACTTTTAGCCCTCCACAGAACATCTCCAGGAGCCACACCATGTGCCCGAGTGCATTGTCCAGACACTTGTTGAACTCTCTCAGGCACGGCAGACACAGAGGATTTAGCCTGAAGGCACCTCCCAAAGTCATCCAAACATAGGCTTCCTATACTTACTTTGTAGGTGCTAAAAAAACGAGATATGATGCGAGAGAGACCAGAGGTAATTACTCTTAACTCATATTCACAAAGTGCTTTGAGCTGGTGAGTTGCAGGACAGGCTTTCTATACTTACTTTGTAGGAGCTAAAAAAACGAGGCATGATGCAAGAGAGAGCAGAGGTAATTACTCTAACTCATATTCACAAAGTGCTTTGAGCTGGTGAGTTGCAGGAAGGATGGAAGAATCAAGCAGAGCCTCAGAAAGGAAAGAGATGCTCACACCGTGATTAGGATGGATGTACTAACAGTGTCTGAGCAACAGCTCCTAAGCGTAGGAGGCACTTGAAAGAAGTTCCCCGTTTTGTTACACAGTGAAGTCGATATTTGTGCTGAAAACACCGCATATTTCAATTCCCCGGCCACGGGTCTCCCTCAGCCCCTCACGGGGGCCGCCAACATGGCGGCGGGCCCCGTCACGTGCGCGGCGGCGGCCGCGCCCCGCGCGCGCGCGGCACCTCCCCCGTGAGGGAGGCGAGAAAATGGCGGCGGCGGCGGCGGCGCCTTGTTTTTTTTTGTGGTTTGTTCTCTTGGAGTTGCAGGGAGAGGTTGTGAATTGAAAAAGGAGAAAAGAATAAACCATGTGGTTGTGGATGGTTGTGGCTTGTCAGCAGGGTTTGTTATTACCATGGAATTTACCAAAACTTTCCAAAACATGAGTAATGACATTTGTGTGTCCGCTGTGAGGGTACTTTGTTAATTGGTATAGAACAGCAAGTATTTTTTTTTTTACTTCAGGTGGTTGCTTTAACCAAGAAAAATATAAATAAACAAAACTTTGGAATATCTACCTTATGCACAATGTAACTTGAAGTTATGTGGCGTCTTGTACTGTTACTGCTTGAATAAATGCATATTTTCAATAGAGTTTTCTGTTGTGCTTTGTATTTTGGGCTCACTAAAATGTGTAGTGGTTGTTTCAAGTCAGTGTGTTTTCTGAAACTTTGCCTTATGGAGATTGTTATGAGTTAGTGTTGCTCAGGGAGCATCATGGCAAGGTCTTCATCATTAAACAGAATTAATTTTGTTACAAGTTAGCTAGCATCTGATGCCTGCATGAGGTGAGGTGTCAGAGGAAAGATGGAGATGCTGAGCAAAAATTTAGGAGCTCCTTACTGTACATCTTTTTTTCATTGTACATCCTTTGTGAGAACAACCTGAGCAATGACAATACTATTTTTGAAATAATTTTGAGTGAGAGGATTAACAGCTCTCATGGAGTAAACTTGTGATGGAATAGTTACTAAGTGGCGTATGTTATACATCGTGCTTATAAGACACCAAAAACGTGGCTGAGAAGGGAGGAAATGAGACATTTAATGCTGTTTTAAGCTAATTTAACGGGTTGTATAACTCTGCAAAAACTAGCTAGACAAGTTGTAGGTGTAAGTATTTTGATGAGCTTTTAATGTCCACTGAAGGCGATGGGATTGTTTTTGAGATACTTTTCATTATGTGAAATTAATGTAAAGCGATTTTAGAAATGATGCTGGGTTTATTGCAGTTGGGGTGGGAACCCAAGTGTGTTAACTTGTGCCCTGATGTAGGTACACAAGTGGCATCAGTGGTGCAGAACTGCATTTTTAACAACAAATAATGCCTTTTCTTCATAATAGCAGGGATCTCTGCGTTCAAAGCATCTTTGATTTCCACAGATTTTCTCTTATGGCAAAGTCCATGCCAGTGTCCAATACAGGAGTAGGCAAGAGGTCTTTAGGTGACCACGTGGGTGTCACAGTTTAGTTTTTGCAGGTCTCTAGGAGCTGCAGCATCACGTGCAGCCCTCTGCTTGCAGAGCAGTCGTGTTTTGGGGGGTGAGGGTGGCAGCCTGGCAGTGTCCTGTTCTGTTTCCAGCTGTGTGAGTTGAAACTCCTGATTAGATTCCCATTTGATTCAGTGTCCAATGGGCAGTTTGTCAGAACTTGGCAAAGCTGCTTTTTTTCTAGTACATTGCAGCTTTCTCTGATTATTTCTCTGAGTCCCTCTTTATGGTAAGAAGGAAACATCTTCTCAACCCTCCCTTATTTTGGCATCCTTTGGAAAGCAATAAACAGCTACTATGTGATTTCCTGTTAATCGTAATACAAAGACTGAAAAAGAAACTGCAGTAAACACCCCCATAACATATATTGAGGTTTGTGATTCATTTCAGTTATAAAGATGACATTTTGTGCTCTGCAACAGAGGGAAGCCTCATAAGACTGGGGAGGATCATTTGAGGTGCTTAAATAGGTAGTTTCTTATTTGGTTCTTGCTGTATTGTGTGAGGTATTGCTGTTTAGAGGATTTTTTCCTGTATCCTTGCCCTCTCTCCCCAAACAGAGCGTTTCTCTGGTAATTTTTGCCAAGAGCAGGTTTTGCTCAGTGTCCAGGGTCAGCCAGCATATCCATTCCTGGGCTGTGTGGGTGAGGGAGGTGCTACTGGTCCTGTGCTGTGCAGCTAGCTGGCAGGAAATCTTGGATGTATTCCTAAATTGGTTCTTTATTACTACTTTTGATGGATCTTAGGAGATTAGAACTACATCTCTCAAGAGACTGCATCAAGTAATAGAAAATGCTGCAAACTAAGATGAGTTATTAAGAAGAAATTCTTTACTATAGGGTTGGTGAGGCCCTATGGAGGTTGCCTGTAGATGTTGTGGCTGCCCCATCTCTGCAATGTTCAAGGCCAGGCTGGACGGGGCCTGAAGCAACCTGGTGTATTGAAAGGTGACCCTGCCATGGCAGGGGGTGGGACAAGATGGTCTTTAAGGTCCCTCCAACCCAAACCATTCCGTGATTCTGTGAAACTTTTCAATTTTTCTGTCTCAGCAAAGCATTCTTTTGCATTAAAATCAGCACGTTCTGGCTTTGCTTGTGAATCACTTGTGTGTCCCTCCCGCCAGGCTGGACAAACGCTGCACAGCTATGGAGAATGAACCCAACACGACGACGTGTTCTGCACCCACCACGACCGTCAGCAGCACCTCCACCTCGCGCACGCCGCTGCCGCAGATCTCCGTCTACAGCGGCTCCGACAGACATGCTGTCCAGGTATGGGCCCTGGGGCTTCCTCCCTGGCCTACAGAGCTCTGAACACAGGCACTTCACAGGATTAACTCTTCATTCTTTATTGCTCTTGTCTGTCTCAATAGCTGGCTTGCTGCTGTTCAGGAGATGTTTACTGGAGGGTCTCAGACCACTTAAGGGTAGTTCAGGGTAGGCCTGTCTCCCAAATAAGGGAGGGGGAAGAATGATAGAAAGTTCTGTGATAGAAAGTTCGGTTTGTTCACCCTTTGCTGAGGGTACAGATTATTAACATAAACCTTTGTAAAATGAAGCTGTTTGTTTGACCGACTTTGACTAGAGTGATCCAAGGTATTTGTGTGGGTAAGTCCTGCTTGGGATCCAGCCCCCTCTTGCTGTTCTTGAAATTAGGTCTCTGTGAACTCTGTACACCCCATTCTGTTGTGTTTGATAATTGGGTTTCTCACACACTACTCTGATCTCTCAAAAAGCAGAACATGATGTAGGATGTGTTGACAAGCAGCTGAGAGGCTGGGATGATGTGTTGGAGATGATGCTGTATTGTCAGGCTGTCCTTGAGAATGTGAATATGTTGATGTTGACAGTACTCTGTGACTTGGTCAAGAGCAGTGAGGGAACAAGTTCAGTGTCACATAATTGGTGTGAAAAAAATTATTTGGCTTTATTTCCTTATAAGGATAAACTTAAATATCATGTCAGCATGGTGAGTGCTTTGTAATTGTAATTAATTACCTACTGATTCATCACAGGTTATTCAGCAGGCCTTGCATCGTCCTCCTAGCTCAGCTGCTCAGTACCTCCAGCAGATGTATGCAGCCCAACAGCAGCATCTAATGCTGCAGACTGCTGCTCTGCAGCAGCAGCACTTAAGCAGTACCCAATTTCAGAGTCTGGCAACTGTTCCACAGGTGAGAGTGAAGATTGCTGAAAAAGCATCATGAATTGTCTAGAGCAGGGCTCCAGTCATTGTCAAATGTAATAACAGCTTAAGTGCCTGAGCTTAATGCCTCATGATAATTCACTGTTGTATTTTAATGATGTTGTTATTTTAAATTGTAGCATCCTCCAAACTGTTTGGAGGATTTTGTCCAGTGGTATAGATGCTCCAGTAGGCAACCATTCCATGCTTTATTGCATACATTATAATGCATCATGTAAATCATCAAGCAGTAATAAAATAAATATTAAAAATAGACTACTTCAGTCTTCAGCCCATGATTTTCTCTAAAAGTTGGTGGGGGAAGCAATGAATGGCATTGTATCTTAGTAAAATAAAAAATAATGAACATCTGGCATCTTAGTGTGTTTTGCCTCACATCTGGCTGCATTATAAGTAATGGCAAAATTAAGTTTTAACCCTGAGTGTGAAAATGTAGGAGGTAAATGACATTTCATATCTGAAACACAGCTTTTAACATCAGTGATCAGTGGAGGAGACCCATTTTGAATTAAAGCAGTAGCAAGATTTCCTTTGACCTCAGTTTGCCTTGGATTGAGAATATGATCTTGCAGAGAGAGGTGGTTGTTAATGATTTTGCACAGGGAAATGCTAAATGGAGTTATGGACCTCAGGGACATGGTTGTTTGGTGTCAGAACTGCACTGACTCATTTTTGCTCCTGGCTTTTTCTTCTATACCTTTTTCATTAGATTGTAGTAATATGTTGATTTGTCTTTTTTTGTTGTGATGGATTTCTATGTGGATATACAGTTACTGAAAACAGAGCAAAGAAAATCAGTTCGGGAAAGGCTGAGAGTTTTGGTTTTGTTCATACAGAAACCTAAATCACTGTCCCTGCTATTCATCTGAAGGGCTGGTATAGTATCCTGTGATAGACACTTGATGTGCATACATAAGTTACCATTCCAGAATATGAGGCTGTTCTGTGCAGCATTTATATATATTTTAGAAGATTCTAATCACAATAAAATTATGACATGAGTTCTAGATATTGCATTTTAAGTTCTGAGCACCATAGGTAGTGAGGTGATCACTTAGCTCCATCATTAGTAGTTTGGCAGACTTTACCTCTGATCATTTTTCTTCAGGTCTTGATCTGAAAGAATTATGTGTCTGAAATTTGGTAGGACTCAGGGAACTTAGCACCTTGCAGGTAGCATTCCATAGTGCAGAGTGCACTTTACTGAACACTATTTCCACTGAGAAGCATCTTACTGTTAACTCAGAGAAAGGTAAAGGTAGAGAGGGCTGTTTCTGGTGGTTTATGCAATAAAATGAACATCACTTAAGCACTTTCTGATTTCACTATTTGACACATATTCTTGCTATTTAGGCAAGCCTGTCAGGTGGGAGGCAATGTACTTCCCCCACTGGGAGTGTCACTCAGCAGTCAAGCGTGTCGCAGACCTCGGTACGTAACTGCACCAAGCCCTCCCTCCATTCCCAACCCTGCCTGGTTGTTACATGGCTACAGGGAAAACCAGAAAATATTAATAGCATTTCAGGTTGTATTGTTAAAATGAATACTACAGACACAGTGAGCAGTATGATGACTCTGTAGTAAGTGCTGGGTGCTGTGTGTGATTGTTGGTGGCCAGTCCCAGACCCCTCTTGATGCTCTGAGGGGCAGCTGCTCACTCCACAAGCACCAATGGCTCTTCAAACTCCTGGAGAAATCACTCCCCGAGCTCTCATCTCTTACATGATTTCTTACTGGATTTTCTACGATAGTTTCTTTATTCAGGGCACTACTGTAGGTGAAAATCATAACTGTGTATCAGGGATTAAACAGCACTAAATCTAAAGAATCCAAATAAATGCTCACATATATCTGTGATACTGATTAAATGTTTATAGTATTCATTCTTTTATTGATTATCATCTTCTATCATTCATCTTTTTTGCAGTTTCACTTCCCATATTCTAGGCATGTGCTCAGGTTTCAGTTGTGAGCAGCTCTGTGTTCAGTTCATGCTGTATTTCTTTAAGTGCCATTGTCAGACATGCACAGTATCTTCTGTACAGTTTTACAGCTGTCTGAAGTAGGATTTGTTAGTCCTACAGACATCCTGCTTATTAATCACACCCTCAAGCTGTTCATGACTCCAGTGCATAGCTTCAGTGATTTAACTGTGTGGTTTTTTTAAGCTCTCATAGCTTGGCTTGGCTTACAGTTGTTAAAAGTAAAACCATTTATTCATTAAATTTTGGAGGGAAATTCTATTAAGATGTCTGATGTTAAACTAATAAAATAATTGGTCTGGGTTTTCCAGGGAAATCTTTTAAGTAAGTGATGAAAAAGAGCTGGGCACTTAACTCTGTTAGACTGGTTAAAGAAAAAAAGAAAAAGCAAAGACACAACAGCTTTTTTTTTTTTTTAAGAAGATTCTAAAGAGTGGTTCTTGAGCATTTAAAATGAAATTGGGGAAGGTTTTAGTCTTCAGTCATTTTTTAGTGTGCATATGTGAAATGAGGATTGAAAGTCCATAAGTGGTGGCACAAAGAAGTGTCCTGATCAGGTTGCATAATGGAAGATACCAGTCCAGGCAGTTAATATAAACATTTGAAGATCTTAAATATTGAAGTTCAAGTGTTTTTCTTAAAATGTTGAAACCTCATTCTACATATTCAGTAAATGTGTATTTCTGTGAGACATATTTTTCAGAGTTCATATCATTGTTTATACTCGTAATGGCTTATTATTATTTACTGCAAAGTGGTTGCTTGCAGTTTAAGAATAAAAACATACAATCTTGCCAGAATCCAATTTTGTGATGATTGGCTCAATATATTTTTGATATCTTCACAGTTCAGAGATTCCAACCGCCCCTGCCATTTTTGTCCAGGGCTTTCTGGCTTTAGACCCTAGGGTGATGGAATTTCCATGACAGAAGCAATATTTTTGTTTCCTTAGATTAACCTCTCCACCTCTCCTACACCTGCACAGATAATAAGCCGCTCTCAGACCTCCAACACCACCAGCAGCAGCATCACCCAGCAGACGATGTTGCTGGGCAGCACCTCTCCCACCCTGAGTGCCAGCCAGGCTCAAATGTATCTGCGAGCTCAGATGGTAAGTTTTGATTACAGCCCTTGCAAAGTTTGCTCTGTCCCTATTGGAAGATCTAAGCTCTCTTTCTTTAATATAGTAGATATTGGGCTGCTCTTTTGTCTTTTTTCCCCCCCACTAATTTGTAGTATTGAAGGGAAAGTCCTCTTACTTGTATGAAAGTTCATACCTATGTTTATCTACCTCAAAGATTTTTCTCAATGTGCAGAACAAATATTATATTTGGTTTACATGATTCTCTTTTATTTTCTTTGTTTCTATTCTTTTCTTTGGTTACTAAAATTACAATGATAAATAGTTCTTTAAATAAATTAATCTAAAAGTAAAAAAGTAAATCTTAGAAGCTGTGCCATCAGTATGTGGAAGTATGGTATCTCTTTAAGATACTGCATTTCTTTCACAGATTTTTAAAATTTCAGTCAGTTACCATGTATTTTTTTCTTGCTTAACAGCTTATTTTTACTCCTGCGACCACTGTGGCTGCTGTCCAGTCTGACATTCCTGTTGTCTCCTCATCCTCCTCATCTTCCTGTCAGTCTGCAGCTACTCAGGTGAGCTTGTCTAAACTATTAAAGGTCTGCCCCATCGAGTGGGACAGAACTGAAAAGTAGGGAAATGCTGCGCTTTAGTTTTTCTTGCTTTACTTTCACCCCAGACCAGAGAGCAGATGAGCTGCTGGTGTGGCTCTGTCAAACCCCAGCTGAGTCACCTTACCTGTGAAGGTGTGCTGAAGGATTTGTCCTCACTGAGACAGGGTAGCAGTAAATGCTTCCTGAATGCCAGTGGGGAAGCAAGCACAGTTGTCTTGGGTGTGAATGTGCCCTGTGGTGACACACAGAGCAGTGAGAAGTGAAATGTAAACTGGCTGTTCATTACACAGGTACTAACTGTTGAGTTAATGTCCTCTTAATAATGTCCTCTTTTTCTTGTAAAAATGATGTAAATTAGTGCTACAAGCATAAGCATTACCCTTGAAAATGAAATTTGAGCTCAGCACTAGGATTGGAGATCTGGGATCGCTATGTGCAGAATCTGGGTGTGGTAACAGACTTCAGTGAAAATGATCCCTGACTGATGTACATTTCAGAAAGCAAACTTTTTGTTTCGTGTTACATTGGAGGGATCATGGTGAGAAGGGAGGTTAATATTGGTTAATTTGGAGGTTAATATAGGAACAAAGGTCTCAGTTTGTTAGCACACAGCTAGCAGAGAAGTCTCTGGTCCCACTGCCCACCCAAGGCTCTGGTTTATGGTGGTGTCTGGAAGCTCACTCACAAACCACTGCACTTCTGCAGAGTCTGTAAAAATAAAATTGCCTTTGCTTAAGATGCCTTGTGTCACTTACTTTAAAGGCACAATAAAAGAGAAAAATGAAAGTTTTAATTCAAATGAATTAACAATTTCCATTTCTTTAAAAAATCTAATAAGAGAAAAAAGACCTCTATTTATCACTAAAGAAATAAAGATCCCTATCCTTTAAATTTCATGGCTTTAAAGATACTTTGATATGCAGATTTTTAGCTTCTTGTGATCACATGGGATAAGAAACATTACAAAATGTAAATTTTTTTGCTGTTTTCCCCTGTTATTTATCACAGCTATTTATAGAGTTTGGGTGTTTTCACGTTTTGCTCATTTCCCAGGTTCAGAACTTGACGTTGCGCAGTCAGAAGCTGGGTGTGTTGTCAAGTTCCCAGAATGGCCCACCAAAGAGCAGCAGCCAAGCTCCGTCGCTGTGCCCCAGTAAGGCTGCCAGCAGCTCCAAGGGCAGCCAGGCAGACCCCTCAGAAAGCAATAGGAAAGGCGAGAGCCCCGCTCCAGAGTGCCGGAGCACGCCGGCCACGCGGACATCCAGCATCCACCACCTCATCACTCCAGGTGGGACCCCTGTGCAGCGAGAGGAAACTGATCCGTAATCACGGTTCTGTCAGACTTCAGTGTTCTCTGACCGTGTTATTGTAGATATTCCACATGAACAGAGTTCAAATTTTATTAGTAAGTTCACTTATTTGTTGTATTGGTATTGCACAGGATTTTGATTAAGCAGAGGCAGGAATGTTCTTGAATCACAATACAAGCACAATGTAGCAACTGCAATGCCCTGTTGAGTCACAGCACAAACACGATTCTCATTCCTGGTCTCTCTCTCCTGTATGTTCATTGTCAGGACTTGCCATCCCATCTCTGAGCAGCAAAATGAAACCACCTCAAGCCTCTTGCTCCCATCTAAATTCGTTTTATTGGTGGTTTGTTCCTTTTGTCTGTGTTGACTGTGTCATGAGAATGTTCTTATATCAAGTACTTTTATAAACCCATAGGTAACAGTGCTAAAATTTTAGTATTTTGTATTGAGATAAATCAAAATAACCTGTACTTGGTTAGAGAGGCACACTGCATGCAGTATATTTGCATCTTAGCTTTCTTATTTTGAAAAAGTGATGGTAGTCTAGGCAATTGGTCTGAATTCTGTGGAATGTAGCTTGGCTTAATGACAGCTTTTAGAGAAAGAGTGGGACTTGGAGGCAGACATTCTGGAAGTATTGAACTCTAATGCTCTCAGAACTCACGTTGGTAAGAAAAAACCCCCATACTTAGTAGCAGAACAAATCAAAAAACCTACATAGATGAGTTGTTTCTCAAGTGAACAAGACAAAGCAAGAAGAGGTTTGCATGTGGAGGAAACTGTGTGTGCTGTAAGAAATGGCTGGTGAGTCACTGGTTCACTTAAAGGTGATGATTTCTCTGGAAGCTGCACTATTTTTAGGTTTGTGCCTCTCAGTTGCTGTGTTCAAGTTCAGGCAAATGCTTTCAATGGTTTAAATTTATGCTAAACTCTTGGAATTTTATTTAGTCTCTTAGCATAGTATTATCTGAGGTTTAACTTAGCAGTTATCAGCAAATCCTGTTGTATTTATCATTTCTTTTCCAGTCTGTTTCAAAGCAAAGGTAAAATCCATTTAAAGTTGCGTGAAATTTTTAAATTTAAGGCTGGATTGGCAATAATCTTAGACCTAGTAGCAGAAAGATAAATTTAGATACTTCTTTATAGAAAGTATCTTTCTGTATTTAAAAAGCGCAGCCATATTAATTTGTTCATTGCTGCATTTTGCTCTGGAAATTGATATACTCTCCTGATAAATTGTTCTTGTGTTCTGTGTGCTGTCAAAGAAGATATTTTTAAACAAATATTGGAAATGTTACAAATATGCTGATCTTTAAAGTGAGAATTTTTGAGGTATTTTACAATATTTTCGGAACTCGAAGAAAGAAATACTAATTGTCACTTTTTCCCTCTTCCCTCACAGCTTCATATTCTCCATTGCAACCTCATTCTCTAGTAAAACATCAGCAGATCCCACTTCATTCACCACCTCCAAAGATTTCCCATCATCAGCTGATCCTGCAGCAGCAGCAGCAAGTCCAGCCGATTGCACTTCAGACTCCTCCGGGCCAGGAGCCGCCTCCATCCCAGCACTGCCTGCCCCTGCCCAGCCATGCGCTGCCTCCGGCTCCCAGCAGCGTCCCGTCCCACTGCTCCCCTATCCACATCCATCCTCCGCCTCTCACGCTCTCTCCCACCCCGTCCCAGTCAGCTCAGCAGTCAGTGGTGGTGTCCCCTCCGCCGTCCCACTCCCCGAGTCAGTCACCCACCATCATTATCCACCCTCAAGCCCTTATCCAGTCGCAGGCCAGCTCCCTGGTGCCGGCTCTGCAGCCCGAGCCGGCCGCTCCCCAGGCGGCTGCCGCCAACCCCGCGCGGCCCTCGCAGCCGCTGAGCCTCCCGCAGCACCTGCCGCTCCCGCCCTCGCCCGCCGTGCACATCGGGGCCGTGGAGCCGCCCGCCTTGGTTTCCCCGGGCCAGCAGCTCGTGTCCTCCACGCCACACCAGCAGTATCCAGCCCTGCAATCCGCTCCCATCCCTCTGGCAGCTCCGCCTCAGCTCTCGGCATCTTCAACCCAGATTCAACCGCTGCCCCTGCAGTCTGTGCAGTCTTTACAAGTGCAGCCTGAAATTCTGTCCCAGGGGCAGGTTTTGGTTCAAAACACTTTGGTTTCTGAGGAGGAACTTCCTGCTGCAGAGGCTTTGGTCCAGCTGCCATTTCAAGCTCTTCCACCGCCACAGACCGTCGCAGTAAATCTGCAGGTGCAGCCGTCAGTTCCGATTGAAACTCCAGTGGTGAGTGATAACATTGCACCCTTTATTCTTTCCCTGGGCTTCTCCAGAGCTGTGAGTCAGGCCCATTGACTTCAAAGCGACCTAAATCAGGTGCTAGACAGGGGACAAAAAACCTATTGATTACAGAACTCAGTTTTAAGAAGAGAATAGTCCTTTTTCTTCCGTTTCATGTTTTGATTTGGGTTTTTTTTCCCCCCGCTTTTTGCAATGGATCATCAGTCAAGAATATCAGTCAGGAATAATGAAAGATGAAATAATAAATTTAAGATGTACAATTTTGTTTCTTAATGAAATTACAATGTATTTGAAGTTTAAAAAAGTAAACATATGACAATGTTTACATAAAGAATTTTGGTAAATAGGATGTGAGGACTGTAAACTTTTACTTCAATACAGATAGATTTTGATTAGGAGAACAATCTGTACTAGGTGGAAGGTGCATATCAGGTTATTAAGATGATAGGTTTCTAGATTATTTATTTTGTACTAACATTAATAATATCCTCTTCATAAAAGAATAGGGGAATTTTGATGCTGTTTTGGCAATTCCCATCACCACCATTTAATTTGGTCCATGTTTGCTTCAGGTGCCTGCAGTTTGTAATTGAAGGTTTTGCCTTCAATTACTAGATTAAAATGATGTACAAGAAAATAAAATGTTATGCAAATAAGGCTGACACTTAAGATGGTGTTGCTGGGCTTTAGGGTAAAATGCTAATGAGATTAGGATGAGCAAAGGAATCAGCAGCTATTGTAGGCTTTTTTGAGCCTATCAACAGGTTAAGGAGGGAGGTGTGCTGTTCATTTTCAATTTATTTTAAGAGGGTAATAATCTCAATTCTGGTATTTCATGGAGAAATTGGACAAAAGAGTAGGAGCCAGGTTTGCTTTTGACAGGGTGGTGTTTTACATTTTAATCTGCTGTCAGGAATTTATGTAAATTTATTTCAATACTTTTGAGGAAAAGATCTTAAAGCCTCTTATAACCACTAACGCTTGATAGTCTTGGTGTACTCTTTTGAAATACTCATCTTGATTACACTGCTGTATAAGATAGAAAACTTGTCATTAAACTTGCATTTTGCAGATGTATTTAAATAACATCAAATCCATGTGTAAATAAAAATAACAGTAAACTCTACACATATGATATTGAAACAGTCGAGTTGTCTGCTCTGTTTGATTGGAGAACTGTGCTTCTTTATATATGGCTGTTTGTAACAAAATAATTTTACTGTCATAGATATTGTGATGTCATCAGAGTGCATTGTTTGGTATGCATTTTGGGAACTAGTATTTTATTAGAAGATTAACATAGTTGACCTGGTAATTTATTTTTAAAATTTTATTTATGCAACTCTTTTAAGGTGTTAAGATAGAATGGAAATCTCTCTAAAGCAATAGTTTGTTGGATGCAGATTTACCAAGTGGAGAATGTGTGTGAAGAGGAGATGCCCGAGGACTCAGATTGTGTCCACATGGCAAGAACACCTACACCACCCACCTTGTCCCCACCAGCCATAACCTTGGGCAATGGAGAGGCTCTTAATTCAGAAGATCCTTTATCAGGTGAGCACAAATGCCTAACTAAGACAGCTTTTGGTTTTGTGATTTGTGTAAGTAATTAATGGCCGACTGTGTTTGTAGCTAGCAGGTACTGAGTAAAGGAAAATGTTTGCATGTGGAGGGTGTGTTTGTGGAATAGTCTGTGGAGATAAACCATCTTGTTTTAAAAGTGGAATCTATAAAGCCTAGGGAAGAGCCTGTGTTAGGGGTTGATAGATGCAGAGATGGGTCTTGGGGATTTATCACCTCTTACTGCCTGATTCTGAGCCAATGGTTGGACATCAGTGATAAAACATAACATATTTTGTTATTTTTTGCAGAACATGGGGGACTGCCTTCAGTGACATCATCAGTCAGTGCCTCAGTAATTAAATCTCCATCTGATCCTTCCCATGCCTCTATTCCACCACCCCCTCTTTTGCTTCCAGCAGCAACGACAAGGAGCAACAGCACATCCATGCCCAATAGCATTCCCAGCCTAGAAAATAAACCTCCACAGGCTATTGTCAAACCCCAGATCCTGACCCACGTCATCGAAGGCTTTGTGATTCAGGAGGGCTTGGAGCCCTTCCCTGTAAGTCTAAATTTGCTAGGAATTTTTTACTACTAATCTTTGAAATTAACTCTTTGTAAGAATGATGTTATTTGTGGCTAGCTGGTATTTAGATCTTGAATTATGTTTCAGATATTGGTTTTGACCTTTTCTCCACTGGTTGGTGACTTGAGTAGTAGGCTATATCTGGAGTTAACTACAGAGGGTGGGTTTAGGCTACCATTTGGAACAACTTTTTTACATTTGCCTGCCTCCTACATACCTCTATTTAAGTGATACCTTAATTTGAACCTCAGAGCTGAGTCTGTTAAAATTTTAAAATGCTACAGTTTGTTGTTTCAAGCACTGGCAAGCTCTTAACTGGACTAGGTGTAATTAGTGCAGTGTCTGATAAGAAGTACTGTTGAAAATTTTAAATCACAAACTGACAATTTAAAGCTTGTCTTTCTAATTTAATGTGTGTCTCGTTTTCCCATTGCTTCATTTCTGTAGATATAATGTGTTTCTTCCTTTGTTAAATATAATTGCAAACTCTGTAGAGCGGGAGTGAGTCTTAATTTATTTGAGAAATGAACTTTGGCATGATATAATTACACTTCATTGATATGAGGTAGAAACTGATCATCATCTTTTGAGAAGATTGAAAACAAATATTGTTTTTAATTATTCGCTGTTGTGAATAATGTTAATTACTCTCTGTTACTTTGCTTTTATTGCACTAGGTCAGTCGTTCATCTTTACTGGTGGAACAGCCTGCAGAGAAGAGTCTGCTGGTGGAGGGTCAGATCATGAGTGTGGTGTGTGTTGAATCAGATTTGCAGAACACAAAACATGCAGACAACTCATCAGACACAGAGATAGAGGATATGATTGCAGAAGGTTTGTAATTTTTGTTTCAATGCCCATTTCCCCCCTCCAGTTCTGTGTGCTGGAATCAAACTGTGGCCTGGCCCAGAAAAAACAAGTTGTTCTGTGAACACATTTTTGTATAAATTCATCTAAGATTTGAAAGTTCAGAATTTTGTAGCCATCCCTGGGTTTTCATTCCTACAGCTTGTATCTTTATTGCACCAGAGTTATTTTGGTGATCTGCTTAAATTTAGTCTTAATGCAAGTCTTTCTTTAATTCTCTTAAAATAGTTCTAGTCCTTTTTTCATATCAGAACTCTTTGCAGCAGTTTTTTGGTCCATAATTTGTTTCATTAAATGTTAATTCAATTTTCTTTTCAGTGTGAACACTATGCTATGTCTCAGATTTCAGACAGCTTGTCTTGAATTCTTGTGGAATTCCAGAAACACTCATAGCTTTGGGTTTAGTTTTGGTTTAGCTCCTGACAGCTGGTGTTAGGTTTATGTGGGGAATTTGTAACTACTCATTAGATGAGCTGGTAGCTAGCATCCAACACTGAGACGCATCCATGTACATATCATGTGAGTAGAGGAGATTTTTTGATAGTAAATCAGGGCATGATTGTGTGTGTGGCAGAAATGGTCTTCTCAGTATTCCCAGCTCTTTGCTGCACTAGTGCTCTTTTTGTAGAGCAGGAAAAGGGCGATCTCACCTCATCAATAAGAGAAAAATACTCTGTAGCAATAAACTGTAAATTAGCAGATGCCATAATCCTTTTCTTTGTTGCATGCAGCTTATCTTTGTCATAGACTGAATGTTACATATATACAAGATTCAGTGTTTTCTTTGCTTTCACAAGTCCCTTTGGTTGTAGCAGCTGCTTCTTCAAAGAAAGTACTTTAAAAGGTTAGTTCATTGTGTCATTACAGAGGGCTTGCATTTATACTGTGGAAGGCCTGATTCTCTTAATGAACTCTTCATGAAGCAATTCATGAGGAATGTAACCCTTCTTTTTTAATTGCTTGCTATGTTTGAGGGCAGACCTGCTCATGGGTGGCTTGAAATTCAACAAAAAACTGATTAAGTTCATTGAGTGATTTAATTGAAGGTTCATTAAGATTCAGTTTGCTCAAGATCTTTTCTAGACAAAATGAAATCTATGACTTGTTTAGCTTTGCATAATTGTCTGTTAATCAAAGTATTTAATTGAATGTGTTAAATATTTGATGATCTTTTGCCTGCTTGAGGTGAGAGATGTGAACATAATTTTGTGTCATTGAAAGTGACTTTATTCCTCATTCCTTCTTTAGAGGGACTGGATGAAATTGAAAATGATCTTCTGAAGTGTGAATTTTGTGGGAAAATGGGATATCCCAATAAGTTTCTGCGGTCAAAAAGATTCTGCTCCACATCCTGTGCCAAAAGGTAACACTGTGTAGTTATTGTTTATCATTATCTGGCTAATGGATTCATCTCTCCTGGTTAAGACAGCAAGAATTCACAGTCAACATCTGAATGCAAAATCTTCCATTATAACAACTGGAAAGTTGATGTTTAATACCAGAAGTTTTAGAAATGGGGAATAGTTTCCCATTTGTAGTCGCCACTTAGCTCTTTTTTGGCATCAGGGTGTCTGGACATGACCTTTCTCATGTGTCTGCTACATTCCCATTTAGGTAGTGGGAATATATATTTTTGATTTGGTACTTCTTGGGACACCACCAGCAAAATAATCTTAAAGAGATTTAGTCCTTTAATCTTAACATGGGATTTTTGCCACTGTCCTCCTTTGACTGGGTGTCAGCTAGGTAGAGAAAATGGAACCAGAAAATACAATGTGATTTTAGGTTTTTAGTGGACATTTCAGAGCAGAGCTGTACTATGCAATAAAATACAAATGTATTTCTAAGAATGGGAAGGACAGACATCTTCCAGGGGTAGTCTGGATGTACTTGATCCCACAACGAGATGAGGGTTTTGATGAGGTGGCCTTTGAGATACCTTTCTCTTGTATTTCTGTGACAGCTGTTGTAATTAAGCAGCACTTCTACAACACTGTGATGTTATGGTTACTTGATTGAATTCAGTCCAAAAAACTACTAGTGCATTATTGTATATATCTTACTTCTTTAGGCACAGCCTTAGTTGCACTAAGAAATTTGGGCTGTTTCCATCAGACAAGACCAGTCGTTGGAATCGGAAGTCAGATAGCCAAAGTCTTGGGCGACGCGGGCGTCGGCCGAGCGGCCCTGAGGGGGCGTCACGAGATCATTTTCTTAGACAGGTCTGTGGAATATTTGCTTAAAACTATGGCACTGCTTTGGGGATTGCAAATAAAGCCTAATACTGTAGTTGCTACATTTTCCAGCTTCCAATTACTTATCCATCTGCAGAAGAAGATCTGGCTCCTCATGAAGACGCTGTTCCGACGGCCATGACCACGCGCCTGCGGAGGCAGAGCGAGAGGGAGCGGGAGCTTCGGGAGCTGAGGATGAGGAAAATGCCAGAGAGCATCGACCTCCTACCAGTGGTGCAAACTGACCCCTCAGTATGGACTGTCGATGAAGTTTGGGCCTTTATACATTCTCTGCCTGGTATGCAAGGGGCAATAGCTTGTTCTGTTGGTTTTAACAATGAAGTTCCTTGCTTTATAGCAGCGCTGTGATGAGGAGGTGGTGTGGTAACAGCAGCAGTGTTAGCTGGTGGTAGAGACTGGAATGTGATTTGTCTCCTCTTGCTTGTTCCTTCAGCACAAATCCCATGTTGATAGAACTAGTCCCACTTCTGCTGTTGCATCCCAGCTGATGGACATTAGAGCTGTTCCTTCCTTCAGTCTGACTTCTCTCCAGAGGTCAGTAGAGAGATCAGATGCACTTCCTCCCTGTTACACTGCTTTGATCTCTTTCTTTCTCACTTCCTTCTTCTCTTTCTTCCTCCCTTGCTGCTTATTCAGTAGAAAAAGCAAGAGCAGTGTTACTTCCCTTGATAAAACTGAAAAGTTTGAAAGACCCGTCATGATACAAATCATTAAAAAAGAATAAGCAAGTTTCTGCTATAAAGAAACATTTATTAAAATTTGTTTTGCATAGCTTTGCTCAGAGATCTTCTGCCTAGAATCTCTGCATACTGCTAGTCTCAGTTTGTTCTCAGAAAAAATACGGGTTTTTTTCTTATTCACACACCTTTCCTTTAGATTGATACTCACCTTTACCTTTACATTATCTTCAGGTTATCTGGCATTTATAATTTCCTAACTATCAAACTTTTAAAGCTTCTCTCCCCACCTTTTCTCAAGGATGCCATTTTATCTGACCAGACACTGCAACCCCTACAGATAACAGATAAGGCAGATCTCCACAGTAGCAGTCATACCAGAATTTTTGTTGCTTACCCATTAAAACCCAGGCTGCGTTTGTTCCTAATTTTCTACTTTTTCTGGAATGCTATACCATTTTTTGTGAATCTCATTAAACTATTAATCTGTAAGGAATATATCTTCACTGCTAAGTCATGCACATGCATTATGACAGTCTTTTGTAGTAGGTCAGGCAAAGAATTGCATAAGATGTCTAAAACTGGCAAAAGTCATCCTTGAAGTACCTTTCTTCTGATAGTTGATTGCAATTCAGTAACACTGCTTCTGGGAAGCTGCAGTGATGGATGTAGGAACAAGGAAAGCTCCTCAGGTTTGGGATGTGGTCATTCCTGTTTCTGTACTGGAGCTGTGTTACAGACTGTAGCTCTGTCACTGCTGTTTTCAGTTACTGTTTTTATGGATTCAAGACTCTAGTTGGCTCAATAACCAATCCTAGGCTCTCAATAAGTGGTAGTTCCTGTGCTAGAATAACAGAAGTGCCACATAAACACAATTCACTTGCAAGTATGAAACTAAAAATTTTATTCTTAAAATGTGGTTTCTGTTTTGAAACCATTACTTTTACAATATTTCACCAGCTGCTAGATCTGGTTTAGTTTTTTGTATTCTATAAACAAGGTGATCTTTGACTTTAAACAAACTTATATTTATTTGTATGTAGTGAAAGTTTATTATAATTACTCATTCATCTCCATATGAAGGCCTAATTGCTCAAATACTTTTTTTTTAAAAATAAGTTCAATAGATATTTAAAGTTATATTCACAACCTGCCAGAATTTTTGTTGCTATGTTGCTGCATTTGGGTTTTTGGTTAATTTTGTGGTTTGTTCTTTTCAGTATATTCTCAAGTCACTCTCTTGAAAAAATATTTTACCATATACTTTCAAGATTGATTCATGCAAATAATATAGATTATTTTCTTTATGGCATTTTATATTATGTATCTACTTGGTGCAGTCTGTGCAGACCATCTGCCATGCTGTTGTCACTTATCCACGAACATTAGGAACATCTGTTTTCATTTACAGCTTTCAGCACAGTCTGTAGCTGAAATGGACTTGTGTCCTTGTCAGGCTTTTCCTGAGTTGCTCTGGAGCCTTTTGGAGAAGTCAGTGTCCAGGACACTTGCACTGTTAGCTGCTTCTACTGGGGGAAGAGACAGAACAGCTTAAGCTGAGCAGAATTGTTCTCCTTTCTGTCTTCAGCTGCAAGATAAATGACCTTTCATCCACTCTCCACCCTTTTCTTTTGGCCAAGTATTGCACAACAAGCAATTGCAAAAGTGCTTAAGAATATACCCAGATGTGCTTGGATGTGGGAACTGCAGTACCTTCAACTTCCATGCTCTGCTTTTTTAAAAATTACTTTGATAAAAAGTATTTAAGAAGTTGCACAGAAATTGCTTAAAGGAAAAAAGCTGGCAACAACAAACATCCAGTTTCCTGTTTCTGTAGGACCAGTTTTGTTCCTAAATGTAAGAACTTCTCATGATCTCTCTGACTCTTTGTAAATGGTGTGGTCTGACAATGTTCATGTCTCAAATCAGACATGCCATGATACCTTTCCCAGAAATACTCAATACCTGATTTCAAAATGTTTTATCTGTTGTCAGCATTTCAATAAGAAAATCTTTATGATGGTGTCAGAGATGATTGTTACATGAGGTCTGTTCAGCAAATCATTAAGAAAAAAATTGTGCTTTGTGAAAAGCTAACTTTTTCAACTTTAAATGTTACAACCTTCACACAGTAATAATCCAAATGAATTCAGGTTTGGATGTTGTTACTTCCTTACATGTTTCCTTTCCATTTGTCGTGTACACATTTGTAAATCCATCAGGAAATGAGGCTATCTATTCTTTATGGAATTTAAATCTGAACACACAAGAGAATATGAAGTTAGTTGCTGTCATCCAGGTAGAAATGTTCTTCACAGTAATTTCATATCTCTATAATAGTGTACTTTAAAAAAGGGAAAATGTAAAAATGCCAAAACATAAGCTTCCTCGAGGAATAATTGACATGAGGAATGGAAGATGGAGGACAAATTCAAGTGTGTCTGAAAGGCTCTAAGACAGATGGAGAGACTGCTGGTTTGAGAACACAAATGTATTAAAAAACTCAATTAAAAACATGGTTGGGAGAAAGAAGCGTCAAATAAACAACTGACAATGAGTGCTCTCATGCATGTTGTTGTTAGACATTTATCCATCTTGCAGAGCTGCCATAGAGCCAGACATAACTGGCTGATCCTGCTCAGCACATATCCAGAACATCTTTGGAGGAACCTTTATTTCCACAGTGCTCTTCAGTGGAAAGGGGCCCTCAGTTACTTGGGACAGTCCAACCCATGTACAGTCTTTTTTTTATGTTGTGTTCTTCAGTAACCTGAGACTGGTATTTCATGTTGAGAAAAGGAGTTTAACTTGGGATAAAAAAGATCCAACCAGTTTAAAGTTACATTTGTGAAGTGAGTTACTGCTGTGTGTACAATGTTCACTCTGATAACTAATGATAAATGTCTTCATGAGATGGTTGTGCCAAAGCCCATGCATCAAAACTTTGTTTCCTTAGCTCAGTGGTGTAACACACAGATGGAATTAACTCCTTTTGGAAATTGTAGCTGTTTGGATGTTCTCACTGCACAGAGCAGTATAATGTATTTATCATTTATAGAATTAGATAGTCATATCTTGTTATTGCTGGAAAGAACCCACTTGAATTATGTTCCTGATTGCTATTTCAATGCTGTTTTCCCAATCTCTTCTAATGATGAGAGGTTGTTCCTCTTAATGAAATGAAAATTCTGTCTTTGCTGGGACTTGAAATTCCCAATGAGTAGTTCTCCAGTAAATACAGTGTAATTAGAGGCTGTAGTAAAAATTATTTTCGTATTATTTCAGAATTCCCATCATAATACTGAACTCTGGCATGTAATTTAGGTTCAACAAGCTAAAGGGATAAGCACTGGAAAATGTGTTGCTGATAAGATCCGGTGTGGACAAAATCTGGTGTGACATTGGATGTAAGAATGGGCATTTCTAAACCAGTAATCATATTTTTTATTGTCTTTAGGTTGTCAAGATATTGCAGATGAATTTAGAGCACAAGAAATTGATGGACAAGCTCTCCTTTTGTTGAAGGAGGATCACCTTATGAGTGCAATGAATATTAAGCTTGGACCTGCATTGAAAATCTGTGCACGTATCAATTCCTTGAAGGAATCCTAGGAGGTGAACATGAAGGTTCAAACAACAGTTTCTCAGTGACAGAACCAACAGTAATATGCCAACATCTTCACTGTGGCATGAGTGTTACTGTGATGTTTTGTTAAGTAGGTGGGGCTCTCCCCACATAAAGACTTTAAAATGTTCCTTTGATTATACCAGGAGTCCTCTGTAGTTTTCAACAACTAATAAGTTTATAGTAAAGCCTGAGTAATGCTTTCAGTTGAACTTTTTCATGGAAAAACATGAAGTGAAATATGCTGTGATAGGTTAGATATTCCCCAACATGTACTTCATCTTATGAGTTATGATTAACACCCAGTCCCCACCCCAATCTAGACACCATTTAAATTGTGTTGCTGTATTCTGAAAGACTTTTCCCACATACAGCAGTGTTTGGACTGAACTAACAGAAGTGTCCACAGGCCCTGTGGAAGCACTAGTACCAGTAAAATGCTATGCATTTAGTTGTGCTCTCCGAGTTTGTTTTAGTCTTGAGCAAATTGTTTGTAAGGGGTAGGTTGGCAGCTGGTTTTCCTCATGTAGGCTTACCCTCATCTCTGCCACTATAGTATTTTCTTGAAGTCTGTAAAATACTATAAACCATGTAGATGTCTCATCAAAATCCTCATGATCAGGCTACTGACACTCCTGCCAGAGGTAACTGAAGCACATGTTACTTTACTCTTTGAATGCTGCTATGCACTAAGGGGGCATTAAGTGTTAGGTTTGTAGTTTCACATGCTGCTAGTTAAACTAGACCAGCAGTTCTCAAATGGGGGTTCAGAGTGGACCCTGAGGAAGAGTGTGAGCACTCAAGGTTCAGGATCCCAAATGCCTGGGTGTGAGGGGCTGAAAAGTGCAGCCAGGACCAGCTCATGTTGAGACAAGTTGCTTTAGAGACTGGGGGTAGAGAAGGGACAGCATAACTCAGATGTTCTTTTTCTTATACCTCTTCTAACATGTCTTTCCCTGTAGTGCATTCCCATTGCCTCACTGGAAGCTTCCAAGCACCTTTTCCATGCCCAGTGGCCAGTTTGAGCTGTTCTTGCAGTACTCTGAGGAAGGAGCAGTGAGGCTCCTTCAGAGCTTGTGCAGGAGCAGCTGCTGCTGCCATGAGGGAACCTGGAGCTGCAGGTCAGCAGGAGGAATGCCAGCGTTGGCAACTCTGGGAGAACATCCTGGTTTAGGGCGAATTTGGGAGGACCAGGACAGAGAAATATCCAGGGGCCCTGCTTTGTCCCTCTGGCAGGAGATTTTGTCTTGGATGCTGCAGACCCAGGTGGTGGGATTTTAGTGTCCCCCTCCATTTTCCCTCTCTCACTCTGTGGAACAAATACATTTCCCTAGTTACTGATGCTCTTGGAAGCTGCCTGGGCTCTGAGGCAGCAGCACCTTCTTGGCCTTTGCTTCCCCACCACCTGTGCACAAATGTTCTTGGATGCATTTTGTCCTTCTGTTCCCTCCCTTTTGCAGCTCCACTCCCCTTATGTACAGACCTGGTTCCTTAAGCTCTTGTTTAGGGAAAGAAGGGTACGTGTGCTGACAGTCATTGTGTATATTTGAATTAAATATGTGTATGTGTCTGCAAATAATGTATTTTTTTGTATTTTATGCAAATTAATGCATAATATATGATTGTGTAGGTAGGTATTCAGGGGGCTGTACAGTATTCCTGAAGAGAAGAGGAACTGACCTAAAGTTTGAGAACTGCTGCCCTAGATCAAAAGGAGTCAATGCACATACACTGGCTAAAAGGCAGGTTTGTGACAGACAGATTAATATGTATATTATTTAACTGATGACCTTAAAGAGTAAATTTGAATTACAGAAAAATCTGTGCTTCATTTTCCTTTAATTAGACTATTGCTTTGTTTCCACTAACAGATTTTCTACCATTACCTTCTGGTAATCAACATTAGAATCATTGTTCTTAATTACAACTGTTTGAGCTTGCTAATAGCAGATGTTATTAATGTTTTTGTTAACCACTGAAGCTGCAAGTTAGGACAACACGTTGCAGTTGCACGCTGGTATGTGGTGAGAACCCTTACCCAAATGGCACCAAAGCTTTAGAGGATGAATTGATGCCTGGGTTTATTTTGGAGGGAAGTTGCTAAGCACTTTCTAGTTTGTTTTGTTTTTTTTCTATTTTCATTTACTGTTGTAAAATAAACTTCTTAGTTGAAGTTCCAATGTTCTAATGTTCATTTGAAAGACATTCAAATGATGGAGACAGTGGGTTCCCATTTGTAGCATTTCTGTAAGATACACAGTGTAGCATATCTGTAACATATGTTCTAAAGGATATGTTCTGTTTTGATGAGCTAACTGAAGACTAAAGATATCTTAGATATTTATCCTTTGGCTTTTGTCTTAAAGTTTTATTATTTTTATACAGAAATCTCACTGGCTAATTTTTAATCTGTCTTCTGATTGTACTGTTCTTAGGCAATGTAAAAAGTAGAGATACTTATAAATGTGGTTTGATAATGGTTTAAGGTGTACTAGCAAATGTGGACTTAGGGGTCTTATTTAGACCTGTAGTTAATCAGTGTTACATGCATGAGAATTTCATGGCTGCTTTAATTTTGCTTTATTAGACAGCTTTCAGGAGAGCTTCTCCAGCTAGTGTTTGTGTCCAGCTCAGTCAGAATCACTGCCAGGTGCCAGGAGCTCAGAGCAGACCCCAGTAAGGCACATCTGGTCCTGTTCATCTGGTATGTAACATTCCCTGTGGGTTTGGGAGAGCCACAGAAAATGAGTTATGCTTTAAATATTCATAAATGCAACAGCTTAGAATGTGGGCCTTATGCATATTGAAAGGTTTTTTCCTTCTTCAGTGGTTTTGGTAATTAACTGGAACTTAAAAGCAGACACAGCTATACCAACCTGTACTGATAGAAGTGCACTTGTGCAGGAGTGTTTGCCAGTGTAGCTGTGTCAATAAAATGAATTTTTTAAAAGTCACACCTGTATGTGAAAGTAGGCTGGAAAATTTCTAAGAGCAACTGAAGTCTACTTGGGAAGTTTATGAATTTGCTCCAAAAAGCAATATAATACTTAAGAGTAACAGTCCTCCAGAACCATTTTATGTACTGGCCACTTGCTGTTCAGATAGGTGAGGTTTTCCCAGGCTCATACCATTTCCCGTGTTAGGCTGTACCCTCTTCCAAAATAAGAAGTATTAAAGATTTTAATTGTATTTTAACACGTGTTCCCACAGGATGTGTCTACAAGAAATCTGTTTTATTCTCTTTATTTCCTGGGATTTTTGCTTTCTGTATTCAGATTTCTGGTGTGCAGGATACCCCTCACAGTAATGCTTGCAGTATTTCCCCTGAGGAAGCTTGTCTGCCTCCACTGACTTGAAGTGTCAGTTGATTTGGCTCAGAGAGTGTCTGAAGGAGTTTCAAACAGGCTGCATTGTAAATCCATTCTTTACTCATTAACCCATCTTTTTTTTTTTTTTTCAGAAATGAAGTTCTTGGTGGAGGGTAAAGCCTTTGCTAGATTTTTTGTCATTGAGACATTTCAAATAGAAGGTTTTTGTCCTGCAAGCATCCATTTCCTCATTTTTTTCCCTGTGAAAGCAGGTATTTACCTCCTGACTTCTACTTGTGCTTTGTCCTTAAAGGAATCCAGAGTTTTGGATAGAACAGATTGAATTCCTTTGTAACTGCAGTTGAGGCAGGAAGAGGAGAGGATAAAAGGGTAAAACCAACTGTTCGGGCAGATCTGTGGTACCTTTTGCATAATTTCTGTACCTTGACGTGGAAGGAAATATTCAGGTACAAAACCATTGAAGTGTAATTTGAGTGGAAGTTCAGTGTGAGACCGGGCTGGGTGTCAGTGCCTGGCATGGCACCTACAACTAATGCCAGCTTCAGATGGATGTTCTCATTCTAATATCACAGCATCCATGCAGAAACTTCCACCTCAAGAGCTCAACAGATTTCTTACACGGTGACAAATCTACAGCTCTGAGTGATCAAAGAGTTCAGTGACAGCTGTGTTGAGTCCTGGTTTTGCAAATAATTAGACATCCCCCTAATTTATAACATGAGTAGTTCTGATTGTACTGAGACTGCTCATATTGAAGCTCAGCATGTATAAAAGCTTGCAGTGTTACTTTCTCACCAGTATTGTATAGAGATGTCCTGTTAACCTATACTTAGAAATATATTTGTCATCATTACCCAGGTACTTCCTCATTGATTGTTTAGGCTGCAGATAATGACTGTGCAAAACAATCAATCTAGGGTAGTTTTTTAATAATGCACCTGAATTAATTTATTAGAGATGGAGAGAAGCTAATATTTTAGAGTATTTTTTTTTAAATACCCTGTTCCTGTTAAATGCTGAGTGGAACAGGTATGAGCAGAGCTATTAATGAACAATATCAGTGTAAAGTGTTAATTGCTCATAGTGAATTAATTTTCAAGTCACTCTTGCATAGTGACCTGTAGTTTCAGACAGGAGATACTGTGAGGAGAAAGCATTAAGTGAATTAAAAATTTCTTAGTTAATTTGAGCCTAAATTAAATTAATTTTAAAAGAATTTGCCTTTAGTCATGAGAGTTTATTTAGACCTGAAAGGTTCTCTGTAGTTACAAAGCCTGGATAGCTTTGCAAATGGTGACATTGAAAAAGAGACAGTAGTAATGCTCCAGTGCCAGCTGTGTGGGTTTTTCAGGAAGCTTTTTCAGGAAGCTGTCCCTGGTCTGAGCTAGTGGAGTCAGGGCCTGGCACACAGACTGAGCACCAAGGCAGTGAGCACACAGCACCCTAATCCATGAGAATCAGCCTGGTTTGTTCTTACCATCTTCTTCTCTTTGGAAATCTGACATGTCCTTCCCCACTCCATTTCTGAGAGTGGCATTTTGCTCTCTTGGGTGTCAGCTCTGAGGGCTGGGGAGTTTTGTGTCCTGCCTTATCCCCTGGCTCCCAAGGTCAGCACTTCCACACGTGCTCAAGGCCCCATCCTAAGCTGCTGTGTAGGTTTGTGTAACCTCTGCATTAAAACACACACCTGCTCATTCACCTTCAACTTGAAGGTTGCATAGTATTTTCTGATCTCGTACAGCAAAGTGGAATTGAAAAAGCAAAGTTCAGAGATATGAATATGCTGCTAATTGCAGGTATGGAGCAAGTTCATAGTCCAGCTTTTGTAGCCATTGATTTAAATTTTCTGAAGCTCAGTTCTGGAAGCCAGTGTAATGAAATCTCAAGTTAAAATTTTTTGCATTTCAGGCAAGTATTCCTGTTGAATTATCCAAATGACTCTGTAGAGTAAGGAGCTAGAAAAACAAGATTTTTTAAAAGATTTTTTTCTAGAAGTAATTGTAACTTGAGCACCATTGTGCATTCGTAGAATTGTGATCATAAACTCTGTTTAAGTGCAATACATAACACTGAAGGAGCATTCTAATTGTGTTTATGAAGCACTGCTTGGGTACATAGGGTTGTTGACAGGCTTGGGGTGTTGTTGCTAGGTAATAATCAGAGTATCTATGCTGATTATGGGATTAGGCTTGAAGCACAAATGTCTTTGATTCGTGAGGTAGATCTGCTTTGTGACTGAAGCCTGGGCAGCCTGTGGAAGGCTTGTGGTGTCCTCCACTACCCAGCCAGGATGCTTCCATCTTCTGGCAACTTTTTGCAAATTCAGTTTTGGAAAGAACAATGAGGGATTCTGCACACCCAACTTCCTTTCCAAGCAGTCTTTGTGTCATAGGATGAACAAGCCAGTACTGACCAGGAAAGATGTGTGTAAAGATGAAGGGTTTTATCACTGAGTGCCAAATACTCTGTTCAGAGTTGAAAACACATAGAATATCTCATTAAAATCAATGTTGATTTGTAAGAGGTTCTTTAAATGAGAAAAGTACAGAAGTCTCCCATAAAGGTTTAACACTTTAGCTGCTGTTAGCATTAATATCAATACTGTAACATATTTGAATGGGGAAGGGCCATTAGTTGCTGGCACAGCACAAGAAGTGATGTACAGAGGAGATGTAGCAGTGGTTATCTGTAGTTCTTTTATTTCAGATATTTTCACCTTCCTGGCACAGCTTCTGTCCTCTCTGGCAGTGAAACTGTCACTAGAGAGGGATGGTTCAGGCACCAGTGTTCTGTCCCCAGAAGCACCAGGTTAAAAAAAAAATGGAGAGGAAAAGACAATTGTTAGGAAGGCAGTAGGATGGAGATCTCTGCACAGCTGGTGTCTCCCTCCATGAATGCCAAGGATAAAAGTGGGCTTGCAAAGAGAGTTACCATTAATATGTTTTAAAACTCCCTTGGCAGGCTCAGGCACCACAGTTGGATTTTGGTGGAGACCTGCAGTGCCACTGTTGCCTTCTCAATGAAGGTGGCAGCCTAAAAGTTGATGCTCTTTGGCATCAACTTTTACTTTTTTCCACAAAAAGTAAGAAAGAATAAATTTGACAAGTAATACAGAGATGTAACATCAATCCATTAATATTTGCTTTGGCTGCAAGTTGTGTGTTCCCTGTAAAAAATGTTAAAAACTTGAAGTGGCTTTAGGAGCACTGCAGCAGCTACAGGAATTCTGGCACGTTAGGGCAGATGGGGTTGGGTAAACTTTAATTAGGACTTGAGAAGCTGAACCACACTGATAAATAAAACATGTCAGCAGCCTCACCCAACTGCTTGCAGTTCCAGTTCTGTGCATGTTAGTGATTCAGAAGGGTGAGACTTATTATGCAAAACACACCTAAAATGAACTTGAAAATAGCTTTTCCTTCATTTGGTGTTGAATGAACTTCGAAAGAGGAATTTCCCCCTGCCTGCTGAGTCTGTAGGAATTAGTTATTTCATGATTCTGAAATGCCTGGTGCATTCCTATAGTTGATGTATTTGCTGATTTTTAAATGGAATTAGGTTTTGTAAATATTTTGTCAGCCCCATTTCAGTGGGTGTCCAGTTTCTATAAAACCTGAAGAAATGCTGTGTCCAACCCCTGTGTTTAGCCATGGTTTATCCTATAGCATCTCCAGCATTAACTGACAGCAATTACAGTTTGAGGAAGCAGGGAGCAATTCCTTAGTGTTGTTTTTCCAGTTAACATTGCACGTGTTTTCCTACATTTAACATGGAAATAGAATTTCCTCTAAGTACATTTTCCAGCATAAAAAAATGAAATAATTTTTGGTGCCAAACACTTCAAACTATATTGCTAAGCATTGCCTCCTCTTATTGCACTAGTTTTAAAATTCAGTTTTTGATCATTTATTGTCCTTTTGATGGCCTTTTAACTAGGTTTTCCCCCCAAACCATTTTCTACTGCTGAAAAATGTTTGTCCCCTTTTGATTACATCACAGAAACCTCAAAGAAATTTACCACAGACTGGGGGTGAAAGAAGCACTATGTAGAGTGAAGTAATCAAAATAATCACATTTTGGTATGTTTCAGAAATCAAAGATTAATTTATGATTGAGATGTGATTGTGTATTCTTATGGAGTGAAATACTGGAATATTCTTTTATAAGAAAATTTAACCCATGTTGTTTTAAATTCTACAATTAAATCTATCTCTATAATTGATATATAATAAAATAAATTATTACCCAAAATTGAAATTTTACAGTTTCACACAAAGAGCACACAATGAGCTATGTAAAAGTATGATCTTCACTTTGTGAATCATTTTTTAAGAAGCACTTTCCTATTACCAACTAGCATGTGAATGAATTTTAGATTCTCTCATTTGTTATGATCTGTAAAAGTGACATTTCTTCAATCTGTCTCTTAATGGATAAATCCATCCTACAAATGCTGAAACAAAGCACCTTATACTATGCTGCTTAAACTTGCTTGTAATTGCACCTTTTGTTATCTGCAGAGTTTTCTTAATGAGTATTCTTGTGTGAAATCATTGTTCCCTGTGGGTCTGGGGGACAGTTAACCAACCTACAGCATCATTTACTTAGTTTCTCTTTCAATACAACATTGTATTGTGAGTTTAGTGCTTCAGAAATAAATGCTAATTTCATTTGTCTGCTTTGGTTGTGTATCATTTATTTCTCTTATACAAAATCAAATCAAGTCCATTGTAAAACCCTGAGAATTTGAAAACTGTCAGTATTTTTGCTGGAAGCCTGACTAATTCTTTCCATGCTGAAGTAGTCCTACTTCATACTTAACCCTTTTAAAGTAATTTTGGCTTCAAAATTATCTATATTTTAATTTGAACCATTCTTTAACCTTGGGCATGCATTTATGTATAGCAGCTAACCTTGATGCTTATTGCTTTAATTATTTTATTATTAATATGTTCACGTACCTTAGAGGAACAGCAGCAGAGAAACAGTGAAACAGCACCGCTCCCATGGTTGTGGAAGTTGCACATCTTGCACTGGTTTTGTACTATATAAAATTTCTATTTCTGTAGGAGTTGTAACTTTAACTAAAACAAGTTATTTCATGTTAAACAGACAGTAACCCTTACCTTCCATCAAGCTGACAAAAATCCACATTTGAGCAACAAAATACACTTCAAAAAGTCATTTGAACCTTAGGACAGCATCTGTGTGTAACTCCAGCCTTGAAGACTTTATTGCATTTTGTACTGTAAAACCTGAGATAATTCCATTTAAAGGAAGTGTAGAATTCTAGTCAGAAAAATGACTGAAAACTTGTCCTGTAAAAGCAGTGCTTTTTAAACATGTAGTTTGAAGTTGAATTCCCTGCCCTGGCAGTGCTTGCAGTGCAGTATTCACTGAAGTCTTGCTGGACACTGGACTTGTTTCTACGGAGTGAAGCTCTGGAGATGTTTCCTTGTGCCACCCAACATCAGAGTTCTGCCTCTCTGCAGCCCTTTCAGTCGGCAGCTCATTAACAGATGACAATTACTGTGCCTGGCTTATCAGCTGGCTTTGTGCTTTCATTGTTGAACGGCATAAAGCAGAATTTCCAGCTGACAAAGGGGTCTGTGCACCACCCCTCCTCTGTCAGCTCCACCTCGTGGCAGCGGCACCAGTAGGCTGCTGCCAGGAGAAAGCTGTTGATGAAGCACAGCCAGGGCACGTTCATCTCCACATAGGCTGGGATCTGCACACCCAGGAGCACAACCACCACCTGGAGAGCAACAAACGGTGCCCAAGTGCCAAGGAAACACAGGAGGAGCCTGCTCAGGAGCTGCCACCTAAAGCAAGTGTTGTTGTTGTTAGGCACGTAGGGGAACAGCAGCGCGGGCTGGCTGGAAAAGGAGAGGAGCCTGGCAGACAGCAGCATGGTTGTCACCTCCTTCCAGCCAGCCAGGAGAGCCGTGCCCAGCACCAGCACCATGGCCCGCGACACCGAGGAGCTCTGCCAGCTGCCAGAGAGAGGGCACTGGGAAGGGGAAGCACTCTTCTGCATTTGCAGCTCTTCAGAGACAGCAGGAACTTGGAGAGTGCAAAAAAACCCAGAAATCCATATAACCACCACGGCAAATCCATAAAGTAACTTCCGAGCTGTCGTA